TGCTGATATGGATAATATTAAAAAATAAATAATAAAATAAGAATAAAAAAAAAAAAAAAAGAAGATAATTGAGTGCACTAATCAAACTCCAATTATAAAATTACGCAACATATAACATGTATATGAATAATATAAACACATAAAAATAATTCACATGGATAAAAATCGTGAATGGATCGAAGATTGATGAGAAACCTAAAAATAGAAGAAAAACGAAGCGTGATGTAACAAGCATATAGTTGAAAATTATGAGTAATAATTCTTTTTAAGTCGATATTTTAAATTACATCGATATATGCGAAATTAATTTATATTTCGTTAAAAGACTGATGATTTTCGTAATAATTGATAAATATCTTTATAATTTTATCAATTCGATAAAATTCACCGTTTTTGATACTGTTTAATTAATTGTTGAATAAAGAAGAAAAAAGAAACATATTTTACATATTTAAAAATATCTATAAACAACATATCGATATATTTTTAATTTTACCAATATAAGAAATTCAATACGGTACGATATGGAGCAATATATTAGTTGTAACACAAATTTTATATACGTAGTGCAAGTGACAGTGACGCTAATTTACATGGTCCGGAAGTGCCGGAGGTAATCACTAAATAGTGCAAGTACGTTCTGAACCGGAAGTGGGCAAATGAATAATTTTATTCCTTTTTAAATAATATTGTTTTATAATAATGTTATAAAAATACGATATTTCTCCAAACAAATTAAGATCGATAAGTCAGTTTGCAAACTTCCGTTTCCATTCCACCTTAAACAGTACGGTGATTTTAACGCATACGGGTCACAGGAGAAATACCTAAAAAAGATATGATACAAAGGGCAATCTTTCCTACATGACTTATCTACTATGTCATTACATATAAGTACATCAGTGTCTACAATCACCATAGGAAAGTGTAATCTCTACATCGCTAAAAGAAGTAGAGTGCATAATCGAACATTACGGTTGTATCGTTGGAATTAGTGTGAGAAGGGGTATAACACCTGGTAAATGGGGGTGAATAATTTGTACTATGTTACAACATGATTTTTGAAAAATGTGGAGATGGATCGATCGTCTCTTCCAGAAGGACGAGACACGTTTCACAGAATGAACGAATGTTTCGAATAATTTAATAAAATTGTTCGCGTGGAACGATCCAATTATTTCGTAACCATTAGAGACACGTATGAATTATTATTCACAAAATGAAAGGATTTTACGATGAGAATGTGAAATTGTCGAAGTTAGTTCACAGTTCACAGTTAATGATAACCGTCTCTTCTTTTCTTTTAATCATTTTTAAAAAAAAATGATTCGAACACGTTACTCGTATAAATACTTAGTTTATTTTCATTATTATAATGTTAAAAAATATATTATATAACGCTTGAAAAATAATTTAAACCCATAAAAATGTAACGTATCTTTTAAACGAAAGAAAGAAGAACAACGGGGAGAAAAGTCGATATTCTTCGATTCGCAACTTTATACTATAATGTGAACGAAGAATCCATAGGTATAGTTACGACGATAGCCGATTCACGGAACTATGGACAAAAGCATCATGCAACATTTAAACGCTATTTCGATAGGAATTTGTCGTATGCTATTATATATTGGATTTTCCCTTAGACACGATAGAATTCGAAAAGAGAAATATAATGATGATCCACTACTAAGATTAATGTTAAACAAAGCTCGAATTCGAGCGAGAAACACTTGGAAATAATGGAAATTGCGAAGAAACGGAAGATTATACGTTCCTTCAACTTTCACAGGAACCATACGAATACGTGTTATTAAACGATAAAGATTCGAATAGCGTTCGAATAGCAGGAACGACGTATATATCCTTGATAATTAATAGATATATATTGTGCATCGATACACAAGAATGAATTCTCGTTTTTGAATTCGAGACGAAATGATTCGTGCGACTTTGATGACGAGAAACTCGACATAGAATTTGATTAGCCACGCGGCAAGCACCATTTCCCATTACGAGACGTAAAAGAGAAAATTTACAATGATAGAAGGGGAGGACATCGAGCGCATGAAAACAACATTGCAGCTGAGATGATGATTCAGATGATCGTCGTATTTACACTTGCTTAGGTGGATACATCGATGGATATACACATGATGAATGATGCGTGATCTTTTCCACGTATGAAAGGAGAAAGAGAAAGAGAGAGAGAGAGAGAGAGAGAGAGAGAAGAGAGAGAGAAGAAAAAGAACGGTAGGTTGAACGGAATAGAATAATCTCATGCCATCG